AGGAAGCTTAATATTTTCCATTGACATCATAAACGACTGGAAGTGGTACTGTTTAAGGGACGTCTGTCTTGCTGGTGTCCCATACCATTGGAGGAAGCACTTCTTTCCATTCTCTTTAACCCCGTCATGAGTGGAGGAGGGAATGTAAAAGATCACTGCTGCTTCCTTGAGTTATAACTTCAAGTTCAATTTTGAGAAGCTCAACTTGCTTCTTCTAAAATTTGCAGATTCTATGTCGCAGCCGGTAAATGAATATAAGAAGAGGATATGTTCAAATCCATGCTGCTTCATCTCTTCGGTGTACAGTATTATTGATTTGGTTTTCCCTCGGCCGGGTTTCAGTAGCAGGATGTCTTAGGTGGGAGAAATGGAAGCTATTAAAAGAACAGCGAGGTCTACAGCCTCACTGTGACTGGATTACTCCGCAGTAGTCTTCAGGATAAGGACGTCAATATCATCGGTGACTTGCAGATTCTCCTGAAGCAATGGCTGTAGTAAGGAGATGAAATGACTTTTGTTGAAAAACCTGTTTCACAGGTATGGATGTATTCCATGTCAAATTGATGCCAGCCGATCTCCTCAGTTTGTATTGTCCTCAGTATTGTTGTCTCTGTTCTTGTGATACTACGGTGCGACTTAGTCCACGATAGTGCGGATGTTGTAGGTGATGTATTCATCACAAATGGTGGCAACGGAGCCATCTCTTTGTCAAATTACTCTGTGCAGTAGCAATCCTCCGTCCACTACTATGTTCATCTGAGACAGTTAAACATCTTTGTTGGTAGGCTCATGTTGGTAGGAACATGGTTTACAGGACAGAATTGGTTGTCTTCCTCATCCCATTTTCTTTTGATCAGTGTCAAGCGAAATGTGAACAACTCGTAGTCTAAGAATTTCATTGAATCATCCTCTTATCGTTTGCCTATACACATTCGCATAAAATTATTTAGCATATATGTGACTTTTTTTTTAGTTTTTCATTTTTCAAGTATTATGATTTTCATCTACTGCATAAAATAACCTGCTTTTAAGTATGAAAGCACACATTATTAGACGATACACATCTGTAACAAACGATAGCTGTAGTTCAGCCATGATAGAAACTTTTTTTTCTAAAAATGAAATAATTGGTGTAACTGTTGACGAATTGATACAAATTGGAATTGTCTGTAAGCCCAAATCTAATATCAATCTTTCTCATGATTTTTTAGATTTCGGGGAAAAAAGTCTTATTTTTAGGTGACGAGTCTACCCTCGAATATTGAGCCCATGTTTTTTGAAACATCCTGTATGTATAGAAAAATTGGCCAAATGCTTGCTTAATAGGTTTGTTTTAGTTACGTTCAATACTTGCGTTTTTTGGTAGTTTATGGCACTAGTTTTACTTAGCCCTTTATTTGTGATTTTCTAATAATACCTAATCTCGGCTTGGTCTGGTTTCTATCACGGGTTAGTGCATGCCTCTTTAATTGTTATCCGAGATTCAGTTCAATTTTTTTCTGCTTTACTTGTGTCCGATTAAACTTTTAATCAAAAGAACTAGTAAACAACCTTTAGGCACTTGTGATTTGATCTGGTTTCTATCATTTAATTGTTGGCCGCGGCTCATTAAGTAGCGTAATATTGGATTTTTTGTAAGAATAAAGATTTGTTTTCAATTAACGTAATAATTAAGTTGATTTACGTGGTATATTTGGTATTTACTTATTTATTCTCTCGGATTTATTTGATATATTTTAATATTATCGTTTAATTGAGGTCTTTTCCCAGTTGCTATTTTTTATTTTATTTATTTTGTTCAGAATTTCACCAGGGTTGTCTCTGAAATATTAAATTTGTACGTATCTTCTGCAAGTAATATGTTTGTTAACTTTACTAGTTTGGCTTATAATTGCAGTTATTTAGCAGTATTTAGAGTACATGAACATTATTTACAGTAGTAAAAAAAATTAAAGTTTGTTACTATTGCCTTTTGAAATTTGAGTTGACACTTTGAATTCGAATATTCTGTATCTCCATCTGGTACTACCCGAGTTCTTTTGGTGCCGTATCGAAAGGTTGTGGAGCAAATAACATTAATATAAATGGCGCCCAAGTGTTTTCAGAGTCTAAGGCTTCGCAAGCAAGTATCGTTTTCTTTGAGTCGAGAATACTGCTTACAATTTGTGTTTAATTTGATTATTCATAATTAAACTCTAGGAAAATAACTAAGTATACATTAAGAATACAAGAAAACAGCAATATCCAGTTTTTTTTAAATTAATAAATAATTAATAGTTCCTTACTTACTTTATTACAATGTTAGAGGAAAGTAGAACAAGAGAATATGAGAAAAATCAATAATAGATATCAACAATACCACTAATAATAAAGAATTCTGAAAAATCTATGACTACGGGCTTTGTATTTTAATCGCAGTTTGACCTTTCTTCGCCATGGTCTAAAACTTCGGCATCTAATCAATAAAAGTGTTGTAATAACATGCAAAAGGAATTCCGGGTCACAAAACAGGCGAACTGTTTTAGCTTTGGTTTAGTTTAGCAAAAACCGATGCATTAAATACAGGATGTCTCCAAAAATCAACACCAATTATTTATTATCAAATTAATTTAGGTTCAGAAAGCTCAAATAATAATAAATAACGGTAGTAAATAATGAAAAATTATGTTACAAAATTAAAATAATTAAAGGTAACAATGAAATAAATAGTTAAACTTGTAAAACTCTATTAATATCGAAGGTCCAGCTTAGGGGGGTGGGTGGGCTCAGTGGTAGAGTCTGGGCTTGCTAATCCAAGGGCCTGCGGTTCGAATCCCACCGTAAGCCTGGATTTTTTTGTTTAATTTTATTATTATAAATAATTCTGCTGCCTAGGTAGAATTCCCCACTCCGACCATTCACTGTTGGGTTCTAATTAACAGTGCTGTTCCGGAAATGGCAGTAACAAAGCCTACACAGAACACATATAAGTGAAAATCAAACACAAACTGGGACTGGCATATGTGTATACAACTAAGCCGAAAAAAAAAACTTTGCGGCGTTAAAAAACCTTTATATAAACTATTTCTAAGGATTTGAACACAGTCCCCCTCGTTAAATCTAGTTATGTTAAAAAAATTAAAAATTAAAGTTTAACAGAAAATCAGAAATATAGTTTTAGGACTAATAACGAAACTTGAACGCTTAATGACCTAAGCCTTGAAGTTAATTATCTAATCAAATATGTGACATTACCATTTTCGAAAAAGGCTTTTTTTAAAACACCGTCATCGTGCACTCCACTGCTAGTGTGTCTGCAGCACAGTATTTCCTGGAACTGGAGTAATATAAGATCTTATTCCACTCCGAGTGAAACTTTTGTCTGAAGTTATTGAAAAAATTTCATTAAAAGAAGTTTGGACTGATAACGGAAAAATCTTTGTCACTTTTAATGGAAAAATTAACATTACTAGATCACATCGTTACTTTGAAAATGTTTTTGAACAACTATAGTATTTAATAACATGAACTAAAGAAGATAAGTTTTGAATTAGGATGCGTAACTGGCTACTTGGCTTTGGCAGTTTTTATTTTTGGAAATACTTTTTTCCCTTTTAAATTTACTTTAATATTGTATAATTTATTAATTTATAAAATTTTCCTTTGAAATGGATACATATGTTCGTGATATACATTACAGACCAGTTAATACTCTGGAAATTTTTAGATGTAAGTGATCATAATACATGTTGGGATGACAAGAAGGATATTCGCTCCGTGCGCGACAGCAGCGCCAATTGTTTTGGTATTAAAGGAGTATTTCTGCCTATACTGACAAATACAATTTTTAATAGAATTCGTAAATAAAAAGTATATATGTTAGTTTTAATAAAAGTATATGGATTTATAAAACAATTAAAACATTAATTTATTATTATTATATATTTTTCACGCTTAAATTGAAGAAAATTATGTATAATCATTAAAAATCAATAATAAAATATAGGCAGGCAACAGTATTTACTGGAAAATGTATGAGAAGTTGCCTAAGTCTAATAAGTTGTCATTGAAGAAACCATTTATAATAGCGTGAAGTTAAAATGTATAAAAAGGATCGCTACTTATATTTTCATTTTTGTTCTAAAGAAAACATAGAATGAATGATTAAAACTGGTTTCCGATCAGTAAGTCACAAAATTGCATACCAGCCAAATATTATAATCAACGGCAGAAATCTTGAAATCTAGTCCTTGCTGAATGAACATTTAAGAATAAAGGGATATTAAAGAACATCGTAAAATGATAATTTATTGTTTATTTAAAAACTTTCTAGTTTCTAATGTCTACTATTTCCAGCATTACTGTTATTATCACAAAAATAAAGGTAATTTTTCTTCTTATTGTACACCTATCCATTTATTTCTTTGATTTAATTTCCACTTTGTTAGTGAAATTTGTTATATAAGTTTCACTGTTTTTTTTTGCTAGTATTTGTACAATTTTCAACACAGCAACTCCGGTTGCTTATTGTGTTGTTTTTACCTACTTTTTTGAAAAAAAGTAAAATGTATATGTGTATTTGATATGCCAAAATTACAAAATATCCCCCTAAAATGCACGAATTATCCGCAGCTAGCGCTAGTATCGCTTTTGCTTCCCTTTCCATGACTTCGCACGGAGCGAATAGGGGACATTTTAAATTTTATCTTGAATAAAACATAGATGAAACTAGAATGAAGATATATAATATATAATAGCTGGAAAAAGGCGCGAATTTCGAAACGTCGGCCGGGCGCGCTCGCTTCGTTCGCTCTCCTGTGTAGGGGTTAGTAAGTGGGTGGTAGAAGCGGGACAAATTGTTGCCATGGAAACAATTGTCATGCTAACGACTAAACAAAAACCCAAATAATCCCCTAGTGAGAAAATGCATTGTTGCCAAGTTGAACTTGGGTCAATTATCCGTTCTGACCAGTGGAAGGGGTACTCTAGACTTTCTGAATATGGATACCATCATAGAACTGTTAATCACAGTAAAGAGTTTGTGGCTGCGAATGGTAGCCATACTCAAAGAATAAGAGTCTTTTGGGGTCAACATGTCCCTGAAGAAGAATTCACAGATAGATTATGTGAGTATTTACGGAGGAGATATTGCAACAAAATGGGAATCGATCCAATGCTAGGCCTCAGTGCAATTCGATTAGAGTATGGTGACTCTAGATTGCGTTAGAATACGTTTATGTTATTGTTTTTTGTTTCTTGTTGGTTTAGAGTAGAATATGTTAGGAGTTAATCTATATATAAGAAGCTATTAAGCATTTCCGCATCATCGGGTTTAGGTTTTTGTTTAGTCGACTCCACGACAAGTGTTCCTATGGTAACGGTTTCTTCGTAACCGATTTCAGCTAAACTACAGTGAAAATTAAATGATCTGTAACTTGCCAACTATGCATTTCCTTACCACGGGATTTGGGTTTTTGTTTAGTCGTTACCATAACAAGTGTCTCTATAGCAATAGTTTGTCCATAACTGATTTCAGGCTAAATTAAATCATCTGTAACTTGCTTTTTTGTTTAGTCGTTACTATGTCGAGCGGTCCCATTATAACAGTTTCACCATAACTGATTTCGTCTAAACTAAAGTGAACATTAAATTATCTATAACTTTGGCAACTAGGCATTTCCTCACCACGACATTTGGGTTTTTGTTTGCTGATTACCACGACAACGGTTGCCATGGCAACAGTTTTGACGTAACTGATTTCGGATAAAGGAAATTTGACCCAAATGTACCTTTAAATAATTAATTATGTGAATAAATATAGATATTATTATTATCTTCTACAAGACAAAAAAGGTGGAAAAATGTGTAATACTAAAAAAGTTTCACTGACGCCCGTACCATTACCTAAGCCTTTTTCGTTTATATATCTCATTTTGAATCTAAAAATTTAGAGTTATGGGATACCCATATTTTATTTGAACACTAAGCGTCAGTGAATAGAAGCATAGGGAATATATTTTAAAGTTAGTTTTAAGAACTTTTAATATTAAAATAAACTCGTTCATTTTGCGGAATCTCGCTCTGCTCGTCGCGCAAATATTTACTCATTACATAAAATAAGGTATTTCGTAACTGGTTACATAAATAGCTATTGAGTGCGGCGTTGCCAGCGATATTAATTAATTATTGTAAGGGAACTAAACGAATTTATATTAAATGAATAACAATACCCATACCTTCAACAAATGAATTATTTTCGAGGTTATTATCATAATGAAGCAATGTATTTTTTGGTACTTTAAATTTGTGAGCTTAAAGCAATCTCTCTTTTCGCCTACCATTTCTTTGGGAATTATTTTTAATTAATTGTTGAGAATATACAATTTAGATGCCTATAACAATGAGCGGTTCTAATTAAATCATTTGTAATTTATTGGAAAATTTGATTTCTATTTTAGAAATTTAAATTTTGGAATTAAGAGGCAATTTTATGAGGTAGAAAAGGTTGTAACGTTGAAATGTTCCAAATATAGAATATTTAATTAATTCAATTATCTTTTTTTAATAATAATTTTAATATAGTTACTAAGATGAGGGGCTCTTTGTTAATATCGAATATTAACTTTTACGAGATGTAATTGACTACCCAGCACAGTAAAGAGCGATCCACAAAATGTTTCTAAAGTAGGCCATGACCGACAAAGACAGAAAATTTAAATATTTTTTTGTGGACCACTCCTCATAAACATCATACTCGTAGAAAATGAGAACCTTTCCTCGTTTGTTAAACATACTATCTACAGAGACAACAGAGACGCGTAACTTAATAGGAAAATTTGTTCGGTGATCCATTTAAATTACATATATGACTTTCTTTCTCTTTTACATTGATCTTTACATATATATATATATATATATATATATATATATATATATATATATATATATATATATATATATATATATAAGATAAAAGGATTATTGGGCAAATACCGCAAAAAAATGAAAAAAAAAATGCCCAAAGGCAAACCGTAGACACGTGTTTCTGACTATTGGTCTTCATCAGTACGGTGCAGCCAAGTTCAAAAGAGAATGGAACTAGCGATGAAATCAAATCAACATTTTTTTGCGGTATTTGCCCAATAATCCTTTTATCTTTTATATTTTTTCACCGCACTAAACTATATATATATATATATATATATATATATATATATATATATATATATATATATATCTCCAATAAAACTAACACCAATCTTAGAGGTCACTGATGTTGCTGGTTTTTTGACGTCGACGTATAGATTAGAACTGACAGCCAGTGGCGGCTTGTACTAATTTAAAATGGGTGTTCACTTTTTCCAATAATTTTATCATTTGTAAGTTCGGATCAAAACTTTGTACAAGAGTCAATATCGCTGTTTCTTTTATTATTTGAGTTTATATTAAGTGTAGTTATTATTATTAACATCATTTTGTTTTCAAGCACTACAACTATTAATAAATGACTATTTTAGTTAGTATAATATTTGTTTTGTTTTTAATACGTTGAAAACCATCTATAAACATTATTAGTAAACTGACTTTTCTTCATAATTTGAGATTATTTTTAAATATATATCAGGTTATGTAGAAAGCTTAACATTGATTTTTGTGTAAAAAAAATTTATATAAAACTTTACCTACCATTTTTTAGTTTTTATTGTAAGTTTAATCATATTCACAATTTGTCACAGATGTCGAATAAAAAATATATTTTTAAATACCTTTTATTGGCAAATAAAATAAGAACTATATATATATATATATATATATATATATATATATATATATATATATATATATATATATATATATATATATATCTCCAATAAAACTAACACCAATCTTAGAGGTCACTGATGTTGCTGGTTTTTTGACGTCGACGTATAGATTAGAACTGACAGCCAGTGGCGGCTTGTACTAATTTAAAATGGGTGTTCACTTTTTCCAATAATTTTATCATTTGTAAGTTCGGATCAAAACTTTGTACAAGAGTCAATATCGCTGTTTCTTTTATTATTTGAGTTTATATTAAGTGTAGTTATTATTATTAACATCATTTTGTTTTCAAGCACTACAACTATTAATAAATGACTATTTTAGTTAGTATAATATTTGTTTTGTTTTTAATACGTTGAAAACCATCTATAAACATTATTAGTAAACTGACTTTTCTTCATAATTTGAGATTATTTTTAAATATATATCAGGTTATGTAGAAAGCTTAACATTGATTTTTGTGTAAAAAAAATTTATATAAAACTTTACCTACCATTTTTTAGTTTTTATTGTAAGTTTAATCATATTCACAATTTGTCACAGATGTCGAATAAAAAATATATTTTTAAATACCTTTTATTGGCAAATAAAATAAGAACTAAAATGTTTTAAATGTTTATTTTATAAGATCAGTCCCATCACAATACATAATATTACACAGAAACAAACTAGAATAAAGATACATATTGCATGGCATTCTAAATGATACTCTTCGCAGTTTAACAGACCCCCTTAACCCCCATTTTCAACCAGATTGTTTTCACAAACAGTAGGCCTCATCTCCTTACAGAGCTTGATTTTTACTAAAATTTTCATATGGATATCGCTTTTCATTTTTGATTAATACTCTTCACAGAATACTGTAGAGTAGAAAAAAATGTATAAGGTAAAATAAACAATTTAAAAAGGTCAACAATAATATTCAACTTCGTTTACCAAAGGATACTAAAAGTTTGAAATAGCAGCACATAATTGAACATTTACAGAAATCTAGAAACTAAACTAGTGAGATACACATCGTAAAATGGTATTACACTTAATTCTCCATATGACCCTTTCTAAGTGTATTTCACAGCACATTCCAAAGTATTCTTGCTCTCGCTCTCTCCCACCCTTATGGCAGACTTTTGCATGTCCATGTTCACTAAAAAATAATGTGTTTGAATAAATAACAGAATAATTGTATTTTGTCTGAATAGGTAAATCGGCTTCATCTGTATTTTCAAATTGTTGTTTAATTGTAAATAGTATATTAATGTTTTGATATTTACTTATAGGACTGATTAGCCTGAGCATGTAGATATGTGGGATGTGACTTGTTAAGTGCCTAATCAAAATCACAATAAATATTTATTTTCGCATAATATTTTTTGCATGAAGCAATTTCTAGAACCAAACTCGCGTTTTTGTACACGTTTCTTTCTATAGGTAAGTAATTTCCAATTTATTAAGAATGTGTATGATTAATAATATATTACAAAATGGCTATAATTATTTTAGGTGAATTGGAACAGAGATCCATTGTTACAGCTAGGTACTTTTGTTCATTAAGTAGGTAGATGAATGTCTCGACAGCTTTAATGGCAGCACAAAGTTTCCACCTACTAGAAAAGAAGTAAAATGTTTGCTGAGTAAAAAATCTCTGCACATGTAGTATTGGCAAAAGACTTTTGAAATGATTAGAGATTGGCTATTTCTTACATACAACTACCTCTAATAGCCACTCTAGTGGCTATTAGAAGATTGTAGAGTCATTTAAACGAAGAAAATAAATTAAATCACAAAAGGGCAGAATTTTAAATCAGGATGCATTGGAAAATAAATTTGGGGACATCAGGTCGGTTTTAGATTTTAGGGAGAGATCAATCTCAAGAAAAGTTAATTTATCCTGCAGAACAACCAGTAGTTTAAGTAGGATTTGCTATAACTTTATTAGAAGATATCCTTGATAATAAATTGTAATATACCAGTTGTTTCAAATGAAATTGAAAAAGAGTTAAATTCGAAATTAGATTTTTCATGGGTAAAATGTTATAATCATTCAAACATCGTAAGGTAAACTATAATTAAGGGAGTATGGAAAATAGGTATACCCTGGTAAGGGACAATGTGTTCATTTTTAAATATTGTTTATTATTAATATTATTATTTGTTATGTTTGAAAAGTACCTCCTGCTGCAGAGCAGATCGAATAGTTGGAGAAGGTCCACCTAGTCACCAAATTAGGAGACTAGGAAGACTTTTACACAACAGGAATGCACACGCACAAGATACACAAACAGACGACATAACAGGGGTAACCCTTCAGCAATGTCTTGTTTAAATGATGATAGTATGTCATCCTTCATTCCCTTTTAGAAGGCATGGCATATAAATCTATTGATCTTGATGACCCTAAGAGGAGTTAGCAGGGGGGTGTACGGAATGGGTCTAGCAGGTTTCGATCCAGTTTACAGGATGGGAACTTACTCGACTCGGGCCTTATACATTTGTGTGAGTGTATGTGTGTGTTTGTTTCCATGGTTTTTATTAAAATAAACAGTAATAACATATCGATACCTTTTTGCCAGACTAACGTAAGCAACATTTGTTCAAATGGCACTTATGATAGTCTGGCAAAAAGGTATCGATATACTCTATACTTTATAAAATATTTGTTACATTATTTTTTAAATATATTATGAATATATAACAACTGACTTTCTTAGTAATTTGTCATAAAATGATACGAGGTACTTTCTAAACGTAGCAATTGTAGTTTGTTTTTCTGTACCTTACAATAATATAATTTATAGAAAAAGTTTGGTGTATTATTTCAAATTTTTTTAGCGAAATTTACAAGAGTAATAAAAACTATGTTCACTGCTTATATTAAACTGATTAAAACTTCCTTTATTAAAATGATTAATAATATGATAAAAAATTTGATGTTCTTTGAAGCTTTTATATTTTTTAATATACAGTGAAACAATAGTTTTTGTTTCTCCTGTAAATTTGTAAAGAAAAACTATTTATTTCTGAATGTTTGAATTTCCCGCCCTAAAGCATTTTTAATTTTCCCGCTATTTACTAGTGGCGCCATCATAGACTGGTTGTGGTTACAATCGCCCAAACAACTTTTATCGAACAACAACAATACATTGAGTTACACGTCTCGCTGGATTGTCTCTGCTATCTATAATCTTGCTTTCATCACTGTATTTGATTACGTTCTTCTATTGACCTTTTTTCTAAAACTGGTTGAAAGTGACTATAATAATCATCAGCTGTTCGCCCATTTATGTCCTTCGACTGAAATACCGTCTTCAAAAATGTCTTCGAAACGTTCACCTAAATATTTTGACACAGAATCCTCTCGCGTATTCTTATCGATTCCCAGCTACGTTACTGTTAGGAATTTGGCAAGGGAGTTTTTAAGGTCAGACACCGAGTCTCCGTCCCTAATGCTGTAGAAGAAAAGAAGGAACCGATGAGAATTGTGTAAACTGCAAAGTGAGTTTACTTTGTACGACAAAGCCGATGCAATAAAAACCGCATTTGATCGTTTTTGGAAGCATACAATTTAATTTAAAATGAGGTTTTACTTATATAACAAAAAACAATTTTCTTAATATTAATTATCTACAGTGCAACCTCGATAATTCGAATCCACGCTAATCCGAACGCAAATCGTGATGCGAGATAGTCCGAACGCCGCCTCTGTAATCCGAACGCTGACAGGAAAAGACCTGCAGCGCGGCCCGCGTCGCCCATATGTAGTTTGATAATGCATTTAAATGTACAAAAATCAATATACATACATAGATCTAAAGGTCTAAAAATGTGTAAGAGGTGTTTTATTGTATATTCGTTAATCCGAACAATTCGATAATCCGAACAAGGTCTGACAATTAGGTGTCCGGATTAAAGAGGTTGCACTGAATTATATTAATATTATTATTATTAATAATTTTATATTGTTAGATTTAACCAGCAGCACCCTTAATTATTGGGCTTAATTCTTTGACTGAGAAGTATTAAAAGTAATTTTAAAAAACCAACTTTATATGGGACCACCCCTGAGGTGCCCCCTTAGTAACAAAAAAAGAATCATATAAATCAGACAAGGTGGTAAAGAATTATCGCTAAACATACATAAAAAAATTAAGCGTTTGAGGATTTTTCTAATGGACTCAATTATTAGATTTTGATCGAATGTATATGGAATCACCCCTGAGGTACCCCTTTACTAACAAAAAAAGAATCATAGAAATTGGACAAGGTGGTAAAGAATTAAGGTCAAGTTGGTTAACTGGAACCTAATTTTATATGGGTATGCAATTTAGACCTTTGTAAATCAACTGCAATAACGGCTTAAAAATAAAAATGTTTTTATTTCTGACAGGGATTGTAGCTTTTGTACCCACTGCCCTAAGATCTTTTGTTTTTGAAAGGTCTCTGGAGAAGGATGTTTCGTCGCAGTTGAATATTTGTTCAGGTCGATTCTGTAACTTTAAGTTTAAAATTGTTTCTTCTAAAAGATCAAAGATATCGTACATTGTCCAAGGGTTTTCTTGCCTTTTTCTAGCCACCTCTACTCCTTGAGCTTTTCTGAGAGATAGCTTATTTCTTTCACAAAAATTCAAGAACAATTGTTCTCCGGGACGATTATTTTTGAATTTTGTAATATTTAAATTTCTATTCTTCAAATATACCTGCCCTAAATCCAACGTCTCTTGGCGTGAAAGCCCATATCCCCACTTTTGCATTGTATTTAATGTAGAAACTAGTTGCTCTTCCGCTTCTTTAGTTAAAGCATTTTTTTCTCCTCCTCTGTGTCCTTCTTTAGCCAAAATACCAGTTTCTCTTGTACCTTTAATATAATGTCGTAAGGTTGACTTGGGAATGTTATAAAATTTTGCTGCGGCGTACATGGATTTATTACTATTTTTAACGTCCTCGGCTGCATGAATAAGAGCTTCTCGGGAATATCGTTCACCATCTGCCCCTTTTTGGGTACGACGCTGGTAATTACGCACCATTATGTCCTGAAAATTTTTGTACTGTCACTTTTATGCACGTTTATTATTTAAAGTAGGATAAAATAGAATATAAAGGTTAAAATATCAAACTAACAATTACAATACAACTGTATTGAGTAACTGAAACATACAGATCCAGTTACCCGAAAATTTAAGTTCCAGTTGCCTCATCATATCGAATTTACCAATGCAACTGGAACCTATATAGTCAAACTTGTTTTCATTAATATAACCTTAAAATTTAAAATGAATTACATTATAGATGCTTTTTCTTATACCAGGCCGACTTTCATGTTAAAAAATGTATTATTGTACTTACTGCGATTTTTTTATTACGTCAGTGCCCAACGTTGTTATTCTTCTACCAAAAAAAAAAACACTTCAACATGAATATTTTCGTTACGATACTCACAGCAATAACTTAAAAACTAGATGTAACGGAAGCTTTGGGATAATAGCGCGGGAAGTTTAAAATATTGGATTAGAAAATTAGAACTTGACCTTAACGCTAAACATACATTAAAAATGAAGAATTTGAGCATTTTCTAATGGACCCAATTATTAAATTTTGACCAAATTAATATGGAACCAGCCCTGAAGTACCCCCTTTCAAACAAAAGAAAAGAATCATTAAAATCGGATACCGTGTTAAAGAATTGTCGCTGAACATACATAAAAAATAAATATTACGACGAATTGAGAACCTCCTCCTTTTTTGAAGTCGGTTAAAAAATTAAATTAGATCTAAATGAAATCTAATATAAGGTATTTACAGATCAATTTCCTTTTTTCCATTCCATTGACGTAACATCCATGAAAAACGAAGTAACGACCTAAGAATGTCGTCATAGCTTTTAAAGCCTGATGATGGGCAGGTGGTCGAAACTGGTCGCCTTTTTAAATATAAAAATATGTTTTAGACTTTTTACAGACATACCACATTCGAGACATATTGATAACCTTCTTATCAATATTTTTTTATCGGCGAAAATTAACACAAAAATCAAAATACCTAACCAAAAATTATGACAATCACAGGAATAGAAAATATAAAGGGTTTCTTTCGCAGAAAATTGGTATTTTGAAAACTAAATCTATTTGTAAAATTTTAGTTATTAAAAAATATGCGCCCAATATTTTTAAGAGAGCTATCTCCAGTAAAGTATTATTTAATAATACTCTCCCTAATTCACCCCCTTACGAGTGAATTTTAACCCCAAAAGCTGAGCTTGTGCGGGGAAAGGGACGGCTATTATTATTATTATTTGCCGTGGCGCTCCGGGGCGACTTAAAGATGATTCATGGTGCCATTTGACTTACAGGTGAGGAAAACCCGGAAAACCAGTCATGGTGATTTTTATTTTAATAATCTGGATGTCATATCAACAGAAATTAAATTTCTGCAAATATGGCATCCATCAAATCCTATAGAGAACCATGCAAATAAATTTACATGGTCTTCCGTAGGATCTGAAAGCGTGTTTCGTTTTACCAGAAAATTGGCTGACAAATGAATGCCGCGCCCTAGACACCTACATCACCGTAGTAGATGTATTTTGGAATCCCGCAAATTTTTTATATTTTTTTATCTCTTTTGTATACAAACTGTAATTTAATTGAGTAAACGAGCTTGGATTCAATGGTGACAATTTAAAACTTAAGTTAACAGAAGATAACAACATTGATGAATTAAAACCAAAAAAGAACTAAGCGGTTTCCAAAGATTATACAAAATTGAGATATGACAGGATTTATAAACTATTATTCTATTAACATTTACGTCTCATTTCTAACAAACAATTCACTTCATCATTCGAGCTTTCAAAATTTAGCGAATTTGAATTTTACATGTTGACAAATCCTTAAAACTAAATTTCACTTTGTGTAAGGTCGTACGCATACAAACAAGTATTCAACATGTTTCGTCGAAAATGAAGGAGTTTCGTTTGTTTGGAGGTTAAAATAAACTGTGAAGGCGTGTTCCCAGAGCGATATTAACTTTCTGCCTACGCGAAAGGGATAATATCTGGAAGGACAAAAGAGTACAGGATCGTATTTAATCAACTCGTTTGTAAACATGAGACAGCTTAAGTAGAATCTAAGTCTTAGGGCTTTTGATTGCAGGCGCAACCCTTTAAATCTTTAAAAGACTGAGTTTATATAATGGTAATTGGGTTCTTTCTATTTTCTTCGTCTGCTTGGATAGAGAGTGGATAAATAATACTTTCAACGAATTAGAAGAAGAATTAGAAGGTAAGGAATAGGAAACAGTGGCCAGTCATAGTGAAACAGTCAAGAATTGAGCGGTTATAGCCACTGCATAGTCACAGAAAAGTACGAGAAGATTTTTGTTTACTTTACATTTTTAATCTTTATAATACCAGGTGTCTCACTGTATTTTTCCAGATCTTGAGGACTTGTATCTTCCAAACCAATTAAGATATCCCTATATGGTTTTTACTAAAAACTTAAAGAGGGTCATACTTTTTATTAATTAGGGTATACTAGATATGCAATTGTAACTTTGGCGTAGAAAAAACAAAATGACGCAATTTTAAAGTTCATAATCTAATTTTCTTTAATTTTACACTTTTTTGAAAAACCCCATGCTTTATATAACGGTGTGCTTAATTTCAAAATCTTTTCGAAAATGGCTACGAAATGAGACTGAAAAAAAATGTTTGCATGGTTAAATCTGGTCGCATTGCAAACAATAATTATTTTTCCTACGACCACTTAGGAAAGTGACACATATCACACTGTATAGTCCTATGGAAAGTGCCCTATATCACACGCGTATAAATAAGAATTTACTTTCCACCCGTGTACGAATCTCAGGTACGAATATGATACTTTCCGCAGCAGCTATCACAAAATGTCAAACACATCATTTCTATTTTGATCTATGTAATGTCCATATTAATACTAAAATCGATATGATTGTTAAATTATTGAAATTGTTGTAAATTAGATCCTAGATATTTATCTTTAACAATTATTATTAAAATAATTTTAAAATAACTAATATATGTTTGCTTGTTATTCTGGTTAAACACATAACCGATTAGATCATTCAAATCACGCAAGAACTATTAGCTCAGATGGTTACAGTGTCAAACTTATCAACTGTTCCATTTGAGACCTGGCGAGCGACCTCGTTTAAAATTCTGGCGGGACCAGAATTTTTTTTTGTTTTTTCGAAAATCGAAAATCGAAAATGGAAAATCGAAAATCGAAAATCGAAAATAGAAAATCGAAAATCGAAAATCGAAAATCGAAAATCGAAAATCGAAAATCGAAAATCGAAAATCGAAAATCGAAAATCGAAAATCGAAAATCGAAAATCGAAAATCGAAAATCGAAAATCGAAAATCGAAAATCGAAAATCGAAAATCGAAAATCGAAAATCGAAAATCGAAAATCGAAAATCGAAAATCGAAAATCGAAAATCGAAAATCGAAAATCGAAAATCGAAAATCGAAAATCGAAAATCGAAAATCGAAAATCGAAAATCGAAAATCGAAAATCGAAAATCGAAAATCGAAAATCGAAAATCGAAAATCGAAAATCGAAAATCGAAAATCGAAAATCGAAAATCGAAAATCGAAAATCGAAAATCGAAAATCGAAAATCGAAAATCGAAAATCGAAAATCGAAAATCGAAAATCGAAAATCGAAAATCGAAAATCGAAAATCGAAAATCGAAAATCGAAAATCGAAAATCGAAAATCGAAAATCGAAAATCGAAAATCGAAAATCGAAAATCGAAAATCGAAAATCGAAAATCGAAAATCGAAAATCGAAAATCGAAAATCGAAAATCGAAAATCGAAAATCGAAAATCGAAAATCGAAAATCGAAAATCGAAAATCGAAAATCGAAAATCGAAAATCGAAAATCGAAAATCGAAAATCGAAAATCGAAAATCGAAAATCGAAAATCGAAAATCGAAAATCGAAAATCGAAAATCGAAAATCGAAAATCGAAAATCGAAAATCGAAAATCGAAAATCGAAAATCGAAAATCGAAAATCGAAAATCGAAAATCGAAAATCGAAAATCGAAAATCGAAAATCGAAAATCGAAAATCGAAAATCGAAAATCGAAAATCGAAAATCGAAAATCGAAAATCGAAAATCGAAAATCGAAAATCGAAAATCGAAAATCGAAAATCGAAAATCGAAAATCGAAAATCGAAAATCGAAAATCGAAAATCGAAAATCGAAAATCGAAAATCGAAAATCGAAAATCGAAAATCGAAAATCGAAAATCGAAAATCGAAAATCGAAAATCGAAAATCGAAAATCGAAAATCGAAAATCGAAAATCGAAAATCGAAAATCGAAAATCGAAAATCGAAAATCGAAAATCGAAAATCGAAAATCGAAAATCGAAAATCGAAAATCGAAAATCGAAAATCGAAAATCGAAAATCGAAAATCGAAAATCGAAAATCGAAAATCGAAAATCGAAAATCGAATTGCACTACATCCGAAACGTTGAAATTTTGTCGAATTATGTAGGTAAATTTAATTTTTTTTTCGGGAAAGTGGATTTATCTGTTTTAGGAAATCTCCTTTCGTTTGGAGAAAATAAAAAAAATATGTTTTTTCCAAGAAATGAAACTTTTCCGATACCTCAAACACATTTACCAGAAAAATTAGGGAAAATTTTGAATTAAACGCTTTTCCGGAACAAAAGACATTGATTAAAAGTGGAGATAGAACAAGAAGACCTCAAGAAGAACTATCTTGCTTGATGAGACGTATCGATTGATGTATCACATCGTCTGGTTTATGTGACAGAGAGAGGGGGATTATTAAAAAACGTCAACATTTTTGGTTATTTTAGAAATTTAAAGAAAATAGAAAATAAACGCGTTCTTTAAATTTCTCTAACGGATGGTATTGGAAAATATGAAAATTTTCTATGGTTAAGTGCTTATTCACCAAAACTGTTTTATTACAGGGGGAAGGGGAAATAAAAAACCGCAAAATTTTTAGC